AACCCTCAGCGGGAGCGCCACCGCGCTTCCCAAGCGGCGCACTATAGCAGTGCGCCACCGGCCGGCCCACTAGAAGCAATTATTAACTCTTTCCACCAACTGAGAGTAAGTCAAGAAAGGAGACAATCTGGGATACGGGAAGGAGATCCAATCCAGGAGAGAGGTGAAAGGAGTCATATAGAAAACTGCACAGATCCTCAGTGTACAACTTGATGAGTTTTCACAAAGCGAATACGTACGTAACCAGTAACCAGGTCAAAAAGCAGAACATTACCACAGGCCCAGAATCCCTTCCAAGGCCCCCTTCCAAACCACGGGTAACATTTCTCTCCTGGCTTCCAACATCATAGATTAGCTTTGCCTGTCTTTGAATATTTTTATGCATTAAATCATGCGTTATGTATTCTTTTATTCAACAGGTTATGTTTGTGAGATTCATCCATGTTCTGTGTTGTGTGTTCCTTCTCATTGCTTGATGTATCCCATTTTACAAATACACCACAGGTAATTTATCCCTTCAACTGTGATGGACATTTGTGTTTAGCTAGTGTCTTGGTTCTTGTAAACAGAGTTGCTATGAACATTCTCGTATGTCTTTTAAGTGAACATATGGATGCATTTCTGTCGGGGCTATACCTAGGAGTGGTTTTGCTAGGACAAAGGGTGTGCAGTTTTAATAAATGCTGCCAGTGTTCCAAAGCAGTGCACCATGAACCATATTTTTAAGCAGAGTGCAAAAAGCCTGGTGAGGTGAGCCCAGACTCTTATCTGCACTTGGATAGCCTTGCCCACGTAGTGATGAAGTTCCAGCTCTCCTTTCCACATCCTGCTGTGTGGATGAGCTGTGGACAGTCTTTTCACCCCACAGAAGTGTTCTCATGTGATCAACTCCTGAGAATTAGAAGTAGAACAGGTGAGCTTAAAAGCCAAAATTACAGAGCACTTCACCATTCCCCTCGGCCATATATACTGCTGCAGGACAACAGGGACCTGGCTGACCTTTCAATCCTGCCAGATGCCCTATATTTCCCAGGACTCTCTCCCAACCTTGACCACCAGTATCTCCAGTGGGGATCAAGAAATGCCCAGGGAAGTTATTTTCAACTATGATCCAACAATTTTGTTCATCCTATGTTCTCCTAGGTGTTTTCTTCTAACATGGGTACAGTACCCTCTCCTTGCAGAGTAAGGTTTGTGCTTGCTACTTTGTTAGTGAACATAAAATCAAACACTGTATTATTTAGGATATATACACAGATGGGAAAACTATAAAGAAAGGCAAGGAACTGATAAACACAAAAGTCAGGATGTGCACACACATCTCATAGCAGCACTATTCTCTACAGCTGAAAGGTAGAAGCAACCCAAGAATCCATCAGTGGATGAATGGATAAGCAAAATGTGGTACATTCATACAACGGGATATTATTCAGCCTTAAAAAGGAAAGAAATTGGGTTTTTTGTGTGTGACTGGCTGGTACAGGGAAAGAAATTCTGACATGTAGTCAACATGGATCAACCTTGAGGACTACTACAGTTTGAATATGTCCCCCCAAAAGCATGTGCTGGAAACTCAATTCCCAAAGCAACAGTGCTGGGGACTTAACGAGAGGTGATTAGGCCATGAGGGCTCTGCCCTCACGAATGGATTTGTGCCATTATCACAGGAGTGGGTTGGTTATCTTGAGAATAGAGGAAAGGGTTCATTATAAAAGGGCAAGTTAGGTCCCCTTTTCTATCTACCTTTCTCTTTGAATCTCTCTCTCTCCTCTCTCACCCTCTTGCATATTGCCATGGGATGGTGCAGAAAGAAGGCCCTTGCAGAGGCCGGACCCTTGATCTTAGATTTCTCAGCCTCTAGACCTGTGAGCCAATAAATTTCTGTTTAGTATCAATTACCCAGTCTCAGAAATTCTGTCATAGCAGCACAAAACTGATTAAAACAAGGACATTAGGCTAAGTGAAATAAGCCAGTGACAAAAAACCAAATACTATATGATTCCACTAATATGAGGTACTTCAAATAGTCAAAATCATAAAGACAGAAAATAGAATGGTGGTTGCCAGGGGCTGGGGGGAACAGAGAATTAGTGTTTAATGAGTAGAGAGTTTTAGTTTTATGAGATGAAAAGAGTTATGGAGATAGACGGAGGTGATGGTTGCAGAACATTATGAATGTATTTATAACATTAAACTGGATGCTTAAAAATGGTTAAGATGGTAAATTTTATGTTATATGTGTTTTACCATAATTAAAAAAAGGTAGTTACCTCTTGATGAAAGGAGAGGGGGTACAATGTATAAGCTTCAAAAGTACTGGAAGTTTCTAATCTTGGTAATAGAAACATCAGTATTTGTTTTATTATTATCTAAACTGTCCTCATATTTTCTACACTCATCTATGTGAATGATATATAAATATTTCAAAATTGAAAATATGAATCTGGGAAATAAGACAAAATTCCTTAGATTTAAGTAATCGTGCCTTTATATAAATGTATATATTATGCTAGATAGGTAAGATGTGTAAAATGTAGCTACCAAACATCAAAACAATCAGCTAAAGGGCCGGCCTGGTGGCGCACTCTGTAGAGTGCGGCGCTTGGGAGCACGGTGGCGCTCCCGCCGATGGTTCGGATCCCATATAGAAACTGGTCCGCTCACTGGTTGAGCAATGGTGCGGGCACGACACCGAGGGTTGCGATCCCATTGCCGGTCACGAAAAAAGACAAAAAGGAAAAAAAAAAAAACCAATCAGCTAAAAATAAAAAACTCAATCCACTGCAATTTGATTCAGTTTGATTAAGTTCAAGTTTTTTGGTCTAGAACATGACTCTCAAACAGTGTGGTCCTGGGGACCGGCCTGTGGCTCACTTGGGAGAGAGTGGTGCTGATAACACCAAGGCCCCGGGTTTGGATCCCTATATAGGGATGGCCGGTTAGCTCACTTGGAGAGTGTGGTGCTGACACCACCAAGTCAAGGGTTAAGATCCCCTTGCCAGTCATCTTTAAAAAAAAAAAAAAAAAAGTGTGGTCCCGGACCAGCAGCATCAGCATCACCTGAACACTTGCTGGAAATGCAGATCCTGAGACCCCACCCAGACCTGCTGAATGGAAACTGCAGGTGGGACCCAGTGATCTAAGTGCGCACGAGACCTCCAGGTGATAATGCTGCTCGCTAAACTTTGAGAACCACTCAGCAAGAACGAACTAACCAACGAGTTCTACTTCCTGTCTGAACAGCATCGTGTTACACAAGGGAGTCTTCCTGCGCTACAGATTCTCTTACATCTTAAGAGAACTCTAGTCATTCCTTCCTAAAAAAAAATGAACCATAGCAATTAAATATAATAACTTGAGGAAGAAATTATACTCTCTTCAATGGCTACAGAGACCACAGCATTATGACAAAAACCCTCATATATCATAAAACCTAAGACACCTTTCAGCAGATGACACATTTTTTTTATATACTCAAGAAAGAAAAAACACTGCCAATTAAGCTATAAGATGCCATGGACTGTAAGATACACCCCAATAGCAGAGAGATTAAAATGGGGGAGGAGTGCGTCTTAGACGCAGTGAAGTAAGACAGGAAGAATCAGTACTGGATTCACTCTTTGAATTTGTAAGGCACAACAATACATTACTCAGCTGCTTCCTACCTTATAGGCTGGTTGTGTTACAATATACCCCAAAAGACAGACCAAAATGGATTCTCTGTAGTTGAGATGCCCTAAAACTACCAAACAGAGCCAGATAGCTATAGAGGGACAAGGGTCAGACACGCATCCCCCTACTTACAAAATACATGTTACTGACTGTCACGAGGCTTTCCTTTCCTGTCACTAAGCAGAAATCAGCTCTTCGAAGATAAGATCAAATCAGCTATTGCTCGGAATTCTACGTTGACCTTCAGCAAGTCTACCCGGTGCCAGTCGTCAACCCCCCTCCTTTCATTCTTGGGGGCCCACTATGGCTCTGATTGGACAGAGACTTGGCTTCACGGGCTTTCTTCTTTTGATAACAACTGCTATCTCTAAACCAGTTTTGCTCAGTCTACAGAGATAGCACAGTAACCCGTTCTTGTGTCCTATCATTACCTCTTGATGTCAGGGGACAAATGCCACTTCATTTTAATACTAAATCTCCACTCCAAAATGAACATGGGACTTTTGCTACATGTACGTTTCCTCGCTGTACACATGCATGACTTCCCTTATAAATATTCATAGAATTCCTCACAACCTGCTGAATATGTAAAGCTGACCCTGAAAAGTGTAAAAACTTGTTCCCCCTCCCAACTCCTTCGGGGCGTGTACTTTTGTGTTTTCCCTGGGGGTCGGGTTTCCCTAATCTGCACATTGCTTTTTTTTTTTTTCCTACTTTTCCTTAGAAATAAAGTTTCTCTCCTTCCTCCTCTGTGGATCTCATGGTTCTTTTTGTTAACATTTCCAATGCCATTACAAATGCAAACAGGAAAAGAACAACAGTGCAAGAAAATAAGTCAAGAACATAAGAGACTATTATCATTCAAACTTAACACAATTCCTTCATGAGAACATTAACACTACATTCAAAGAACAAACTGGCAACTAAAAACTCTTGAATTGTATTGCCTGTACACACAACAGATTAATGTGTAATTCACTTTCCCAGGGTGCTGTTTCATCAGTGAGCTCTAAAGGATTTGATACTCTACCAGGTACACACACTGTAGAGCCTAACAATAACTTTACATTTTAAGAGAATTCTTGATAAAAATTCAACTGAAATAATAATACAATATTTTCTTTGCAATGCAAAACCTTCTTTTATGTGAGAAGTTCAAGATCCTGATCTCCCCCATATCCAGCAAAGTCTGGTGCAGATACAGGTAAGAGGGGCACGGAGAGGGGAGGAAGACCACCACGTAGTGGCTACTCTGTGCCAGCCCAGGGCCAAGGGCTTCCCCAGGTGACTGCACACAATCACCCCAACAACCTTGTGAGGCCAGCACGGCTCCTTTTCCTAGATGGGGAAGTTCCTGAGAGTGAGTAACTTGTTTATTAAGATGACCAGGCTAATAAGTGGAAAGGCAGAGGTTTGAAACCATTTTGTCTAACCAGAAATTCCATACCTTTCCCACTGCATCATTAGGCATATCTGTTCCAAAGCTTCATACAAATACTGTTAAAGACACATTTTTAGTTGGGCCCAGATGAAAAAAACCCAAAAAACAAAACTGAAATTACCAACCTTGTCCATCCTAAGTCATGCTCAGTTTTCAGGACTCATGATAAGCAGTGAGATGAGGGAAAGAGTTGGAAACTGGAGAAAAGGAAAAAGGGCAGAAAAGAGCTCCAGAGATGAATCAAGTAGTTCTAACCTATTTAGGACTCTACCAGAAGCAAGAAGTAGGCCGATATCCAGGGTGAACAATAGATCTCATCGGCTCAATGCGGACATACATACGGTCACTATGCTGAAAATGTGCAGAGAAATTAAAGGCTCCTCCTCCCCCTGCCCATCAGCTAAGACCATTCCCTAGAACTGAGGGCCCTGGTCAGGCACTGGTCCATCTCTTACTGACCTGGTTGTGGCTATGACAGTCCAAGAGGTCGTTGCTGATGTAGGCTTGCAGAACAGTCTCCCTCTGCTCTCCAGGATGGGATGTGGTCAAGCGCTGGAGTGAAGAAAAACAAAAGTAACAAGACCTAAGTCATAATATAAAGAAAAACTTTCATATAGCCTGTGTGTATTAAACAGCAGTACTAGTAACTACACATTCCCCCTAACAAAATAAATAATATCCAGCCAGGGGGCTAGTTAACCAGCCAACCAGTCAATTAACAAGAACCTATGATGTTGTACTTCCTAATGGATGATGTAGGGGATGCTGGAGTCAACTTACACCTGTGAAATCTCCCACTTATACACATGATGTACAAGTGAAGCGGCAAGATGCCCGCATTGTAAGGGAGAGCTCACCAACACTTAGAGAGGCTTTTCTTGCAGGAAGCAAGCGGCTCAAGAGTTGGCCGCGGAAGAATGAGCAGACAATTAGCCAGCAAAGAGGAATGTGAGTGTTGTGGGGGATGGGGAAGCATGGTGTGGCTCAGGGAGGTACAAGAATACAGGATGCACTCAAGCAGGCTCGGTGAGCAGGGCCGGGCAGGCTGTGGAGAGCTTGGAGTGCATGCCATCCAACACATTAGACTTTATCCCTCCTATGGGGACTGACAGAGCAATGCTCTGTGCGTGCATGTGTGTGTGTGCATGTGTGTGTAGGGGAAGCTGGCTGGGATTTTGAAGATCTTGAAAAGCCGTGAGTCTGTTATGTTGCTGTATGTAAGAATCTACGTAATGTCCATAGTGCTAGAAGAAAACATTTGTGTGGGGAGCATGTGCAATGTGCATGTGGGGATATGAGAAAGCCAAGCAACTGCAGTGAGCCAATGTCCTTGCTTTCCCAGGGGAATCTCACTAGACGGAAATCCCGAGGCTGCTGGCCCTGCTCCTGGCTGATGAGAGGCTGATGTGTAAAGAACATCCTGGTTCTCAGCATGGCCGAGAGGACGAGCAAGAGCAGAAGACACCCCAGAACCGAAAGGAGACTGGGAAGGCCTCCAGAGGCAGGTGTTGCTAACAGACCCTGCCCACCATGGCCAGGGGAAGGCCTGAAGCTAAGAGGGGACTGTCCTGAAGGAGGAGCACACCAGAATGGCACATCGGGGGCTGCTGCATTTCTGTCGAGTCCACTGGGGCTGAAGCAGGGCCAAGGGGCTGGGGTAGGGGCACTGGAGGGAGACAGAGGCAAAACTATAAGAAACCTGTTTATTTTTCTAGTTATTCTAAGAAAATGTCATTCTCTTGGCAAAGGAACACCTGGTCTCAGCAAGCAGCTCAGGAGCAGCCTGGACTGAGCAGAAGTCCTGAATGAGCAGATGAAGAGCTGAAAGGAAGAGGAGCTTGACAGCTTGAGCAGAGAGAGCGTGCATGTGGCCCCCACTCTAGTCAACTGAGCCAAACAGAACCTGAACAGACAGCCACCTGACCGCAGGACTCTCTCTGCTGATCCTCCAGGCATACCTCAGGAGCACTACCAAACATCAGAAGTGCAAGTAAGCAGAGACTGGATTCTATCCAGACATGGGCACACTGCTCAAAGAATTCTGATGCCAAGATACCCTGTAATTTGGGGATCCGTGAAGGGGTTTGATGCTAATGCAGGATGAATTAGAATGGATTGCACAGGTAAAGAGCTGACCAGTGTTGGCTTAAGCCAGCAGTTCTTAAAGTGTAGACTGAGGAACACTGGGGGTGCCCAAAATCCTTTCAGGGGGTCTACAAGGTCACAATTCTTTTCCTAATAATACTAACATATGATTCGCCTTTTTCATGATCATCTCTCAGAGGCTATATGAAGCCTGATATTGTAACAAATTGTACGCAAAAGCAGATATGAGAATCCAGCTGTCCTCCATTAGGCCAGACATTAATTTGCAAAAATATAAAACAATGCCACTCTTCTCATTAATTTTGTTTGTTGTCTGAAAAGTTATTTTTCATAAAAAATGTTTTTTATGTTAAAATGTAATTTATTATTGTTCATTTTTAATGAATTAAGAAATATATATTTTAAATTGTTTCAGTTTTGGGCCAGCCCATTGGCTCACTCGGGAGAGTGTGGTACTGATAACACCAAGGCCATGGGTTCGGATCCCTATATAGGGATGGCCGGTTGGCTCACTTGGGAGAGCGTGGTGCTGACAACACCAAGTCAAGGGTTGAGATCCCCTTATCAGCCATCTTTTTAAAAATAAATAAAGAAATAAATAAATAGTCTCAGTTTTAACTTCCAATACTGTAAATATTCATGATAAAATTAACATAAACAAAAGTTCTTTGGGGTCCTCAGTAATTTTTGAGAGTGTGAAGTGGTCTGAGACCAAAAAGCTTGAGAACCAACTGCTGCTTTAAACTGTGATCACTCTGAAGACTGGGGAGAAAAGTAACAATTTAGACTAGGCTTTATTTCCTTAAAGACTTGTTAGTGAGTTTTTACCCTTGATGTCTACTCGACAAGGCTGCATGGCAATACCAGCATCCAGAGGTCCCTGTGGAATTGTGAGTGAGCCTGACCCCACACACTCACATGCGGACCCCACGCTCCGGGAGTGTGGTGTGTGAGCAGGAAAGGGCCCTGGCAGGGGCAGTCTCCTGCGCCTTGAAACTGCATGTATCACGTTATTGCATGAAGGCAATGGCAATCGAGGTCAATATAGGAGTTTATCAAAAGAGGCCAAGGCTATTTTCAGAAGCTGCTTTTAACTTTAGTTCTTGATATTAGCAGGCAGCAGGAAGGAGGATTTTTAGTGGGTGAGTTAGAAGATACAAGCAAGGTAGCCAGCCAAGAAAATCAGCATTGTCTTGTTTTGTTTTTAACTTCAAAGGAAAGGTACGTACCCAGCGCAGAGCCTGCAACAAGAAGGCTTTCAAGCGGTCACTCCCCCAAATCAAATCCTTCTTCAGTTTCTCATAATCCAGGGAAGGCAGTAATGGGACATCCTTCAATTTCCTGCTCAGCAACGCAAGTACAAAGAGAAAGAAAAGGGCAAAAGGGCATGTTCATTATACCTCCTGAGCATCATGATATCCGATCTAGAGCCTGTCAGACAGAACGGACCAGCAGTGGCCCCACTGCCCCCACAGCCACCCTCCCAGCCTGGACTCCTGGAATGAACTCCAGCCTTTCATGGGGAAGGCTGGGTTCCAGGCTCCCCCACCCTAGCCTCAGCCAGCTCAGCTCTACCTCTTCTGTAGATGAACTGAGGTTTTATTTAACGTTTTTTCCTAAAATGAGGAGTCTCTGCCTGAACAAGTTCAGAAACCACTGCATTCCTCTTAGGCCAGGCTCCACATGATGGGAAAGAAATCGCCTTGGATTTCCACCAAAGTTTTATTTAGAATTCAAAGCAAAGCCTAAAGATTCTTAGCATCAGCAGGCTCCAAGAGTTCTAACTAAAAGCCCGAAGCCACTGTCCCTCTCAAATCTGTGGGACCAGACTGGGGGAATGAGAAGGCCAGATCAGGGGACAGGAAACAACTATGAAGAGTAAGTTAGTGGACAACTTGACCCTCCAAGTGGTAGGAGGGAGTGGTCAGGAGGCAGCATGGCGGTATACGGTACCTATGAGATGGGTTGGAGGACAATTTGCCCTCCTCAAGAAGACTACAAGTCAAAGACCTCAGGGAAACCCAGGTTCCGATTCTTTGATTAGAGATCCACATGGCTCAAACTGACCCAACACATGCATTTGGTTAGCCAGAGAGAAAAAGTACCACCTCAGATTCCTTATCACTGAAACAAGTGTCTTCACATTTTTTGTTGTTGTTTTGCTGAATAAAAGGAGATTAGAGTACACGGAAAAACTGATGAAAACTGAAGGAGGTCTGTAATCTAGTTAATAGTAGTGCATCATTGTTAATTTCCTCACTTTAATATTATACTACAGTCACGTAAGACGTCACCGTTGGGGAAGCTGGGGGACTCAACTTCCTGTGAATCGATAATTATTTCAAAATAAAAACCTAAAACCTAAACCCAAAACAGAAATATGATTCTTTGAGTATAAAGGAAAAAAGGGAGACTGCACAATATTTAATGGAGATTAACGAAGAGTTTGGTGAAAAGGGTAAAGATGTAGGGTTTCAATTGTTAACGATGGAATGGAAACTGAAATGATAGCTCCGGGAAGTAGCATTTTGGGTAATTTACATTTTCTTCTTCATACATTTCTACAGCATGCAAATTTTCTACAATGAGCATGTATTACTTACATAATGAGAAAAATACATGCTAGTTTTTTTTTAATGTTAGTTTTTAAAATACAAAATGAAATTCTCTTACAGGGCTGGAAGAAACGGCCAGAAAATAGGACAACAAATGAGATCTCAGTAAACACTCCTGGGGGAGAAGTGTCTTCTATTTTCTACATCACACAGTAAACAAATGTACACATGCACTTTGATTATTCTGACAGTTTTTTTCCCTGAGGCAGATGCAATGGGCCATATATACTTGCCAATAATGGAATGTTACCAACTAAGTTCATTACCAACTAAGCTGCTCAGCAATTCCTGTGGTCTAGCCACTCTCCCACTGTCCTCTTAACCTCCTCCACAAACTAGCCCCTCCCTTTATTCTCTGCAGGTGACCTTGCCTCTTATGTCACTGAGAATAATATTAGCAAACCTCCAGAGTTTATTATGTCTCTGGCACTGTACAAAGTGCTTTATACATACTAACTCATTTTTATCCTCACAACAATCCTATAATAGAATAACTATTATTTTTCTCATTTTATAAATGAGGAAACTGAGGCACAGAGAAGATATATAAGTAGTCCAAGATCACAGAGCCAGTGGCAGAGGTGTGGCAGAAGAGAACAAAATGTGGGGTCAATGTCAGACTCAGGCAGGGATGAGGTAGGGGAAAGGTTGTGGCCACCTCAGGTATTTAGTAATCTCACAGCGCTGGCTCCCCCCGCCTGCAACTGGCTCAACGTATCACCAGAACCCATCCTAGTCCTGATGTCCAAGTCAAAGGTTCTCACTTCCTTGCTGCCACAACACACACACCTGATGAAGTGCACTGAATTAGACACTCCCTTGGGTGACAGCCTAAGTGATCTGGGTGGGAATGCTCAGGCATACACACAGGTATCCTATGGCTCTGGTCACAGCGTGAACCAGCAGAGAACATAAAACTTAGACACCACATGCTCTGTTGACTGTGCTACAACAGATTAAGTTCATTTCTATAAAATACCATGGGAATAATTCAACAGTTTTATCCATTTGATGCTACCTTATCAAAATAAACAGAAATAACATTAAAAGATAATTCTCGTTTAACATTACTTATAATTAATGTCCACATGCAGCTCTAGCTCAAAGGCATTCCTCTAAGTTAACTGTTAAAATGAGTGTTTATTAAAGCTACTTTGAATTCCAGTTTTACACACAGCTGTCCTCCTTAACAAAAATTCCTAAGAGCAATTACTTACATGGGTGCCAAAGAGGCTCGTAGCATGGTTGAAGCCTGAGGGGAAGGGGACAGAAGAAAACAGATGGTGTTAAATATTGATAGCAATGCATTAATTCTAAATCACTCTAACAGCACATAATCCACAGATTTGTAACGTTTTTTGTTTTTTTTGTTTTTTGGCAACGGGTCGGTAAGGAGATCCGAACTCTTGACCTTGGTGCTATAATATCGCACTCTAACCAACTGAGGATTTGCAAAGTTTTTAATGCACCAGGATTCTCCAAACAAAGTCATATATGATTAAATGATTAGCTCAAACCAAAGTGAAGTAATACACTACCGATGGGTTTTACAAGCCACTCACCTCAGTCTGTTGCTAATCCGCCCTAAGCAAGCTCTACTAAAAACGTGAATTCTCCTAGACCGAACTCCCAGAGGCACCTAAAGCTGCCTGGTCAAAGACATTATGCAGAACAAAAGAAATATAAATCTTACATTATCCTGCTTTTTTTCTTTATTAAGATTTTCTCTTTAAGTATAAAAATAACACAAGTACTTTGTACCAAGTCAAATACTCTAACAGTGTTTAAAGAAAGAAATTAATAATCCCTCTTCTATCCCACTCTCTTTTAATCCTGTCTATAGGTCAAATCACTGTCTACTTTATGGAAATTCATGTTGTCCCATTTATTGTGTGTGTGCGTGTGTGTGTGTGTGTGTGTGTGTGTGTGTGCATGTGTGTGTCTATTGCTGCTCCAGGCAGTGCTGTATTAAACATGTACTAAAATAGATTTGAAAAACAAATAATCAAATGCAGTGTGTGGCACTTGTTTGGAACAACTCAAACCAACTGTAAAAAAATATTTTGAGAAAATAAGGGAAATCTGAATATGGACTGGACTGGTATTAGATAATAATAAGGAATTAGTGTTAATTGCATTTGGCATTGTAGTTATATGGATTTTTTTTTAAAGACCTTATCTGTTAGAGATATATATTGAATTATTTACAGGTGAAATCATACGTTTGGAATTCGCTTTAAAGAACTCCAGTTAGCTCAGTTGGTTAGAATGTAGTGTTGGTAACACCAAGGTCAAGGGTTTGGATCCCTGTACCAGCCACCAAAAAATAAATAAATAAATAAATAAATAAAAATAAAATTAAGAACTCCAGGGGAAAAAAAATAAGTAGAGAAAAAGTAACAGAGATTAGTTAAATGTCACCAATTGCTGAAACTGGGTGATGAGCACATAAGGACTCATTTTATAATTCTCTCTACTTTTGGGTGTTTGAAAATACTAAAAAAACAGAGAAACAAAAAGCCTGTTTCCAAACTTGTTTATCCATCGTCGCTTCCTGGTACTTTCTGCTCTGTGGGCTAAACTACACTCCTAAAAGTGGTCAGGCTGGATCAAAGGGTATGTGATTTTTGATTCTGGTAAATATTGTCTGCACTACTAGAGAGGACTTTTCCTGTTTCCTCATCAATACTGGACACTATCACTCTTTAAAATGTTTCTCAATTCAATGTTAAAACAGCTATCTAATTATTATTTTAATTTTTTAAACATTAGCAATGTTGGCCATTATTTTTCACTAGATATTCTTTGCTTTTTGACCTTGCCTTCACACCTTATGTGACACCAGACTGTTTTCATGGGTTTCAATCTCGCTTAAGAAGATCTACTCTACTTCGAGGTTATACACACATTTTCTCTCAACTTTCCTAACACTTTTATAGTCACCCTTCTGGAATTTATGTAAATGTACATTCCTTCATGGTATGAGTTCTGTTCTTGTTCTCTGAGAGCCAGTTATGCTGGCACCACGTAAGCCAGTCCCACCTGGGTAACCCAACTCAGCCTGCCATGCTTCAGTGAGTCTTGCTGCCTCTGTTTCTTTTCTTCTCCTCCTTATAAACATTTGAATTTGAACACTGAGGTGGAAGAAGTGTGATCTCTAGGCCCCACAGCTCCCTGTGGTCAGACCTCAGTTGCTTCTCACATTTCCCAGCCACTGGATGCATCTGACTTTGGGACCCATGAAATAAATCACCCTTCCTCCCTCTGCCATCTACTAGGCTTACAGCCCTCCTTAGATCTATTTCTGCACTCTCCAGTCCCTTGCTATTCAGAGTACACTTCTCAGACAAGTGACATCAGCATCACCTTGCTAGAAATGTAGAATCTCAGGTCTCATCCCGGGTCTCCTGAGCCAGATTTGAAATTCAGCCAGGTTCCCGGCACACATGTCTGCACGTTAAAGTCTGGGAGCCCCAATTCTGGTCCATAACCTGTTTATTCCTCAGCCAGTGACATTCTGTTCTGATAACAGTCACATTATAGGAAGTTCATACCTGGTAAGGCAAGTTCTTCATTACTCTAATTTTTCGAACACTTTTGGTTATTCTCAGATATTTATCTACTTAATTTTATACAATACCTATAATTAGCTTTGTAATGGGAATCAAAGGTGTTTTTTGTTCATTGGTTTATCTGAAAGGAAAGGGAAATCTTAGTTCTCTGGAGAGCCCTTCCTGAAGGGGCAGACAGTAGTCCCTGTTCCCCTCTTTGTCACCATGGCTCTCGAACAGAACGTTATCTATGCTTATCATATTGAACTGTGATCATTTTGCAATTATTTCTGTGTCTTTCTCCTTCAGCAGACAATGAGTTTCATAAGGGTTGGAGATATGTCACCCTCATGTCCCCAGTGCCCAGTACAGCCTGGACATACAGGAGCAATCAACATTTGTTAAATGAATGAATGAAGGCTGACTTCCAAAAGCAGGCATTCCAGAGTCCTTTACTGATTAATAAATAAGTGGCCCTGGCCAACGACCCTGTTACTGATTACTTCCCTCTGTGATATCTACAGACCACATAGATTCCCACCTGGTAGACATTAAACCCCACTTTTGAATGGCTCATGACTATGTATGTTTTCATATTTTTAACTCTTGATTGTTTTAAAGGAATTACGTATTCCTGTTATTGGCTTAAATAGTGAGGAGTTCAGAAAATAAGCTTGAACTGTCATCTAAATCACTCATCTAACATGGTACAGAGACCAAGAAGCTAAGGTAAGAAGTCAAAATCATCAATCACAGAACAATTTCCCCCCCAAGCTAACGACGGATTTTGAACACAGAATGGATAAGCCTCAAAAAGGATCCCCTTGCTAAGGAGCTGCTAAGGAAGCCCTGACTCCAGCCACCTGGGTGCTATCTGATTTCTAGGATTCTATGCTGAGAGCTCAGGGAAAGGCCCTCTATGGCCTGGGGCATCAGAAAGAAGCTGGTGCCCCAACCACAGCAGACCTGTGAATGGACAGGTGGTGGTCTCCCATCTGTGGATGTGTGAACAGACAGGTGGTGGTCTCCCATCTGAGGACCTGAGAACAGACAGGTGGTGGTCTCCCATCTGAGGACCTGAGAACAGACAGGTGGTGGTCTCCCATCTGAGAACCCATGAACGGATAGGTGGTGGTCTCCTGTCTGTGGACATGTGAACGGACAGGTGGTGGTCTCCCATCTCTGGACATGTGAACAGACAGCTGATGGTCTCCCATCTGAGGACCTCCCATCTGAGGACCGTTCTCCCATCTTAGGAAGCTCAGTACAAATACAGAGCAACCTATCCAGAGCACAGTTAAAAGAAAGTGGAGTGACTAACGTATTAACCCTTCAATTGCCTACATCAGGCCAGGTTCAGTGCAAGGGTCTGTGGAACCCTTGGGCATGAGAGAAGTAAACATCTACCTAAGCCAAGGTGAAATGACAGCATTCCTGCATCCATCACTTCTCAGCCACAGGAAGGAACTGGAGCCAACCCTCACACAGCAGCCACTGCTCCCTGAGCTGGTGGTCACAGTGTGTGTGTGTGTGTCGGGGGGTGGGTGTACTGGGGTCACACCCAGCCTAGGACAGCTCTTGTTCCTCTGAACAGCCAGAGGAGGGCTCTGCTAATGATACATAATGTCAGCCTTCAAAAGTGTGATCAGAGAAGACAGTATTAGGTGTAACGTGAAGAAAAGTGTTCCTTGGTCAAATCTGACTGGAGATTTCTGGGTAAACAAGGGTGAGCAGTCCTTTACTGTGGGACTCCTCGAGAGTCTCCGGTGTGCTTGTTAAACCAAAGGTTGTTCTGTTTCAGGACAGGGAGATGCTGTGGGATTAGTGTCTATAGGCACATACTTTTGGAAAAAGGTTAAAAGAGCATCAGGAGCTTGCTGCCCAGTGAGGAGCTGAAAGGAGGAGCTGAGCTTGACACTAGCTGAGGCATCCAGGCCACCGTCACAGAGCAGGCCCATTTCCCCCACCCCTCCTGCCCGCCCACTCACGTGGACTCGCACAGCGCCACTGCTACTCACGTTGCACAGAAGCGCACGTGCGTAGGGGAGGCAGGACTACTCGATCCATTTCTGTCGCTTATAACAAAATACCTGGAACTGGGTCATTTGTAAGAAAATGAAATTTATTGCTTACTGTTTCAGAGGCTGGGAAATCCAAAGTCCAGGGGACATATGTGGTAAGGGTCTTCTTTGGTGGTGGCTTTACAGCAATGCAGGGTCTCACATTGCAGAAAATGGTGGAGCAGAGAGCGAGAGATTCTTACGTGCTCTCATTTTAAAGCTCTCAGAACCACACCACTGACCACCATTATTATCTATTCACTACCACATGGTCCTGCATCTAATCACTTCTTCATGGTCCCACCTTTCAGTTGCCATAATAGGATTTCCTACCCTCAACAGGTACAATGCGGATTAAGCTTCAGTGACTTGGGGGGCCATCCAATCCACTGCATCCAGCCCCTGAATGAAGTTTATATCCTTCTCACAGGTAAATACATTTGTTCCATCCCCAAAGTCTTAACTTGTTTCAACTCAAAAGTCCAAAGTTCAAAGTCCCATATGTGAAATCAAAACAAGTTATCTACTGCCAAGATACAATGGTGGGACAAGCATAGCATACATATTCCCATTAAAAAAGGGAAAAATAGGCCAAAAGAAAGAGGTAACAGGTCCTAAACAAGTCTGAAACCCAGCAAGGTGGGCATTAAATCTTAAAGCTGGCAAATCATGTCCCTTGACTCATGTTCAATGTCCTCTGCA